TTATAAAAAAATTGCTACGTTTGCTTCGGATCTTTAGACATTTCATTTTGTAGCATACAACTCGTCCGGTGATGTCACACCCCCAGCCGTGGCTTGAAATCAACTGAAGAAGATGGGGGTCCTATTTTGGGCCTATTTCGCGGTTTTCCATGCTTCCTTTTTCTACATTGAACCAACTACCACCCACTGCTTCGCATATGAACAGGGAAGTCATGAGTGTAATCCCGGATTTTGCCTTTAAGCTTTGAATTCTTAGAAAAATGTAATATGAATGTAATATTTTTTCATAAACCTCACTCATGACATATCTTGCATATCGTGCCCACTGTTTTTGGAGACAAACGTTCCTACCGCTTCTTGTTCCCTCTCTTTAAATTAGAACTTTTTATCAAAAATTTTCATTCTTGCTTCACTTTTTATGACCCTGTCATGAATAGTGACATAGCAGTTATACAACCCTCTTCATGGCATAACAATTTCTCATTACTTTATCATACATGTCTTGTAGTCACAATAAATACACAAAGATGGAATAATCATCAGTCCGACTCTGCTCGTTACCGTGCCCATGTCAACGTTATCTTCAGGGACGGTAGTAAAGTGCCATAGACTGGGAGTTAAAGGTGGTGAACTACGGCCGTAAACGGTGAATAATGAAAGGCGAGACAGCCAGATGAAATGGCGAACTTCACTACATTCCTAGCAAAAGTCGCGTCGCCCATGGACTTGCACCACCTTGCAGCGTCCATGATTGTATAAAGTTTGGTTTGCTTGTCCGTATGTCTTTCTGCTTGTAACCGGCAGGCGCTTGGTACGTAGACCCACAATTGGGGCATTATGCCGCATGGGTGGGAAGTTACCCTTAGGACATGTGAATTGAAAAAAGGCTTAGTAAGAAGTGGGTGCGGTAGTAAGCGGAGCTCGACCCAATGTGCGGGGTATATTGCACAATTTCTGTAAAAGCTGCAAAACCTGCGTTTGCTTTTAACATGAGGGCGCCTGCATTTTCACTTAGAGCATGTAGAGCTTGGCTAAAGTGGGCACGGTGGTTGACGGAGTCGGTAGGTGGGCGGATCTTATCCCATATTCTCTGTCAAGGTCCCGAATCTTTCACTCCAAATATAAAGGAACATATGCTATTTCATTTGACGCACATAGAATATTCACGTCACATCCTCATGGTTAATGACGTCGTGTGATTTCCGATATAATGCTACGGCGTCCGCGGGAGCCGACGCGCACTCGCAAAGCCCGGCGAGTGTGAAAAGTATGCGAGGGTCTCCGTGCAAGGACGGCATCGGGGGCAACTAGGCTAGTCCAAAAGTCCCGCAACGTATGGAAGACTCGCGTTGCGACGTTAAATGTTGGCACGTTAACGGGCCGCTCGTACGAGTTAGCAGAAGCTCTAGAGCGCCGAACGGATTGATTTCTGTGCCGTGCAGGAAACGAGGTGGTCCTGCTGCAGATCGAAAGATATTGGTCGAGGCTTCAAAGCCGTTCTTTGTGGCGGTCCTACTACCAAAAGTGTCGGAATAGTTGTTTCTCACCGCTCGCGTGACTCGATAGTAAGCGTTGAAGGGAGAGAAAATGAAGGTTGTTGTCGTCATCGAACGCGAGCGATACCATTTCTTTTCTGCATATGCTCCGCAGACTGGCTGCTCTGAGCGAGCCAAAGACGAGTTCTGGACCTTGCTGGATGAAAAGACCGCAGATGTACCGTCAGAAGAGGCTGTCATTGTCGCAGGTGACCTCTACGGTCACGATGGCGAAAGACGGTCGCAACTGTCATGGATGGACTTGGATATGGGTTGGGTACGCCACACCGATGGCGAACGAATTCTTGAGTACGCAAACTCGCACGATCTCACCATCGTGAAACAAATTTCCGAAACGTGATTCCCACCTCATCACCTTCTACAGCGGTACTACCAGAACGCAAATCGACTTTGTCCTCGTCAGGCAACGCGATCGAGGGCCCCGTCGGAACCGAAGGCTGTGTCGTATGAGGCGGTCACCATGCAACATCGACGGCTAGCGCGCCTCAACCTTATGTAGTGGTATTCAAGTTTGGAAAAATTTCAAAGTTATCGACCACAAACTTATCAAAAAGCAAGAAGGGTTGACCACTACACCAAGTGGTCAGTTACGAATATGCAAAAGAAAAGGGCGCTAGGGAATCTGATCCACTTGACTAGAAATAGAAAACCCCACCTCAACCACTAGGCCACAAGCACCCAACTGCTAATCCACGATGCTTCATTAAAATGCTCTACTGCTGAGGCTAACACCTGATAGTATTAGACTGCGTGGGGAATATAAAACCCCCGTGACTGCGCTTAGCGAATCGCTTGGCAGATTTGGAAATGAGGCACAGGCCACTTCAAATCTTCATCCTTTCCTGGCAAGGCTAGTAATGAAACAACCTTGTGGCAGGTATTTTGTCGAATAGGCTGATCCCTCGACCATTTGACGCCGTAGTGCTTGTCCTTTCAGATCCAAATCTCATCAGTACCACATCTCGTAACGTTTGATGGATGTCGAAGTTACTGAAACACTGCACACGTTCACCATTTACACTCACGCGTCATACTCCTGGAGCCTCTAATATACATAGAATGCTGTGCAAGGCAGCGTTCATATTCAACTCATTGGTACACCAGGAGAAAGAATTCAATGCTTATCAAATGATGCGAGTGGGGTTACCAACATGCTCACATGCTCCCACTCATTGCGTGTCAAATCTTCAACTAGATCTTCCCTTATCTCCCTTAACCTCTTAATCTCCAGTGAAGTCGTTCAGTGTATAATGTTTTCAGCGGATTTTCCCAATCTCTCAACTTCTACTGTCCTATACTCGCAATCATTGCATAATTTCATTATCCCATAATCTCCTGTCTCCAAAGAATAATGAGTGCGCCATCAAAACTACTGGTACCTTGTGAGTTTCCATTTATTTTCCAAGAAATTAGCGTATTCGTCTGGGTATTCCACTTTGAAATTTGTCGGCAGTCGAATAGCCATCAGCGGCATTCGTTCTTCTATAGTTCCAGTGTACGAATATCTCACCAGTCCAATACGGTTACCGTGATCACCCATAATAATGCTAACAGAGTTCCAGGAAGCGCCTAATTTAACTCAAACATTATTCATGCATTTATTAGAGAGTATTTTCAATCTTGTGGTGGACATTAATATGGGCTGAAGACTGGACACACAAACGCTCTGACTAAATAATTGGCCAGCCAAGGCTTTTGACCTTACAATAAGAGTCGTCGTTGTCTTTTGGCATATGATTCTAATATTTTATAATTCACAAACTCATTTAATTCAATTTCCCCTTGTATTTTATGCGAAGCGACGGATTATCTCCGTTCGACGGTTAGGTAATGCTGGGTAGATTTTTCCAACAGCTGCTGTAGTCCAGGATGCATCTAGACGGTATCCTACTTTTGAAAACGAAATGGTTTTTCTTCTGGCAATCGTGGTTGCGCCAATCAATGAATGGAATGAATATTGGCAATGCTACTATGGTAGCTGTATGGAATTGGTACAGATTCGACAGTGCTAATACAAACGATACGAAGAGTGCTGCATAGACAGCTTGGAATGTAAAGTTATAAAAGAGATGAGGAAAGCTTCATCGGAAAGAGAGGTAAAGCAGTATAATATAAAGAGCTCTTGGGCTGGCCACAACGAGTTCTATGTCAGCGGCATGAACTTTAATATTTCATAGGCAATATGTCTATTCGAGACAACTTCGTAGTTTTATCACTTCCGAAGGAACTAGCGGAGTAGGAACTACACAAATCGAATGCAACCAACCATCTCAGCAATGAGCTGGCCCCGAGTAACTACGAAGTATTCCGAAGTAATAGGTTGTCCCAGAAGTTCGTGCGTATTTTGAACTTATTTTTGAGCCTACTCTATTCCAAGCACATGTGCAACCTATCATCATTATATGTACCACCACTATCAGTGACTTGTTACCAACATCCAACCAAAGATTGGCAACTTAACTCTCAAAAGGCTGGCAGTTATGAGCTGAAAAAGGCAGTGAGGTCGATTTTGAGGTGCTAATGGGAATCGTATTTTTTGTCGTCAAGAAGGCGGCTGAGCAGAAAGGGCAGATGTCTTTCGAAAGAGGATGACTACCGCTGCACGATGAATGTGGTAGGACTTTTCAGCTGAGCTTCGATATTCAGAATCGCTTCATTTTCGAAATGTGTGGTCTCGGGTGTCGTGGAGCGTACACACTTTTTCGAGTTTTAAGGATAGTTGTTGGAGTTTTGCCGTGAGTCTCTGCCGGTTCCCACACAATACGCTGATTAGGGCAACATAGCGATTTTGACAGGTCTGGCAAAGATTAGAATCTCGCTTATGGGTCGACCTTAAATTCAACGTCCGAGGAAAGAAGAAGAATGTGGTGGCTCCTTGCCCTCACATTAGTTCAAAAAATTCAGTGTTCTCCAAGTTCCTTACTTTTTTCGAATTCACAGTCGACTCAAAAATGGTACGAAAGTGCTGGTACGGGCAAGCGGTACCGCACAGTCCCAGATTCAAACTCCGCTCAGGCCGAGTGAACCGTCCGCCTCCGCCACTATTGGTACTAATAGGTTGAGCAAAAATCCGTCGTTCTCTCAAGGCTCATTGCCCATTGGCTTTTTGGATTATTTTCGAAGATTATGATGCAGTCTTACAAGGTTGATCTTTCAGGGCAAGCCGCGCTTTTTGGAAACGGTTTCTTGCATATTGTAGGGACGCATGTATGGACCACAAAACCATGTTTCGTTTTCGCTGAACGGTTTTAGTAGTATCAAAAAAGTGGTGAATGATACCCTTGATGGTTCGATCCCCGCGGCGACTAAATTTTGCAATCAAGGTTGGCGGCCACTTGTTGGCTTCAAAATGGTCCTGACGATGAATTTGACATCTGATTTTGATATTTAGCGCGATTTGGCACCAAACCGTAGGCGCCAACCCAAATGCAAAATTTAGTCGCCACGGGGGATCGAACCTTAACAGTACCTTATGCTTCTTTTTTGGTACTGCTATAACCGTTCAGCGAAAATGAAACATGGTTTTGTGTTCCCTACATGCGTCCCTACAATATGCAAAAAACCGTTTTGAAAAGCGTGGCTTGCCCTGAAAAACCGCCTTTGTTAGAGCGCGCAATCTCTTGCACATTTCGATGTACAACACTTTTTACTTAATTCACTCTGGAGCTTACACGCGAGCAAAAAAATTGCTCACACTACATGAGTGAACATTGAGCCTCGACGAATGCTTCTGCATCTGCTCGCTTCTACATCTGGGATGATGGCACGGGTAGAAAGGACTGTTCAAGACGTTTGTTGATTACACATACTCTATTCATAAAATGCTTACTGCTGAGGCTAACCCTGATAGTATTAGACTGCGTGGGGAATATAAAACCCCCGTGACTGCGCTTAGCGAATCGCTTGGCAGATTTGGAAATGAGGCACAGGCCACTTCAAATCTTCATCCTTTCCTGGCAAGGCTAGTAATGAAACAACCTTGTGGCAGGTATTTTGTCGAATAGGCTGATCCCTCGACCATGTGACGCTGTAGTGCTTTGTCCTTTCAGATCCAAATCTCATCATACCACATCTCGTAACGTTTGATGGATGTCGAAGTTACTGAAACACTGCAAACGTTCACCAATTTACACTCACGCGTCATACTCCTGGAGCCTCTAATCATACATAGAATGCTCTGCAAGGCAGCGTTCATATTCAATTCATTGGTACACCAGGAGAAAAATTCAATGCTTTCAAACGATGCGAGTGGGGTTACCAACATGCTCACATGCTCCCACTCATTGCGCGTCAAATCTTCAACTAGATCATCCCTTATCTCCTTAACCTCTTAATCTCCAGTGAAGTCGTTCAGTGTATAACGTTTTCAGCGGATTTTTCCAATCTCAACTTCTACTGTCCTATGCTCGCAATCATTGCATAATTTCATAATCTCATAATCTCCTGTTCCTCCAAAGAATATGAGTGCTGCCTCAAAACTACTGGTACCTTGTGAGTTTCCATTTATTTTCCAAGAAATTAGCGTATTCGTCTGGGTATTCCACTTTGAAATTTGTCGGCAGTCGAATAGCCATCAGCGGCATTCGTTCTTCTATAGTTCCAGTGTACGAATATCTCACCAGTCCAATACGGTTACCGTGATCACCCATAATAATGCTAATGGAGTTTTGTCCAGAGCGCCTTAAAGCTAAACTCAAACATTATTCATCACTTTTTAGGATTTTTTTAATCTTCGGGTGGGACATAAATATGGTGCTAAGACTGAACAACAACAAACGCATCTACTAAATAATGAGCACGGCTTTTGACCTGACTATCAAAGTCGTCGTTGTCTTTTGCATATGATTCTATAGTTTCATACTTTCACAAACTTCATTTAATCAATTTCTCCTTTGTATTTTATGCGAAGCGACGGGATTTCTCGTCTCGCGGGTCTAGGTAGATGCTGGGTAGATTCTTTTCAAAACACTGCTGTATGCCAGGGATGCATCACCAGACCGTCATCCTACTTTTAAAACACGCAATGGTTTTTCTTCTAGAAATCGATCGGTTGCGAAAATCAATGAATGGAAATGAATATTGCCAAAATGCATACTATACGGGATTCATGCTTGTATGACGGAAATTGGGTTACAGATTCGGGACAGGTGGCTTCAATGGACCGACGATACGGAAGGTGCTGCATAGACAGCTTGGAAGTAAAAGTTATACCAAGAGATGAACGGGAAAGGCTTCATCGAAAGGAGAGAAAGCAGATAAAGATGTAAAGAGCTCTTGAAGCTGGCCACAGCACCGGAGTTCATGTGTAGCACCGGGCCATGGAAACTTGTGATAATTTCTATAGGGCATCAGTGTCTCGATTCGAAAACTCAGTAGTTATCACTTCCGAAGGAACTAGCGGAGTAGGAACTACACAAATCGAATGCAACCAACCATCTCAGCAATGAGCTGGCCCCGAGTAACTACGAAAGTATTCGAAGTAATAAAATGTCCCAGAAGTTCGTGCGTATCTTGAACTTTATTTTGAGCTTACTCCTTTTTAAGCACATGCACTATCTATCATCATTATATGTACCACCACTATCAGTGACTTGTTACCAACATCCAACCAAAGATTGGCAACTTAACTCTCAAAGGGCTGGCAGTTATGAGCTGAAAAAGGCAGTGAGGTCGATTTTGAGGTGCTAATGGGAATCGTATTTTTTGTCGTCAAGAAGGCGGCTGAGCAGAAAGGGCAGATGTCTTTCGAAAGAGAATGACTACCGCTGCACGATGAATGTGGTAGGGATTTTCAGCTGACCATGAGCTTCGATATTTAGAATCGCTTCATTTTGCAAACGAATGTTGTCCCGAGTGTCGTGGAGCGTTCACAACTTTTTCGAGCTTTAAGGATAGTTGTTGGAGTTTTGCCGTGAGTCTCTACCGGTTCCCACACAATACTGATTAGGGCAACATAGCGATTTTGACAGGTCTGGCCAAAGATTAGAATCTCGCTTATGGGTCGACCTTAAATTCAACGTCCGAGGAAAGAAGAAGAATGTGGTGGCTCCTTGCCCTCACATTAGTTCAAAAAATTCAGTGTTCTCCAAGTTCCTTACTTTTTTCGAATTCACAGTTGACTCAAAAATGGTACGAAAGTGCTGGTACGGGCAAGCGGTACCGCAAAGTCCCAGATTCGAACTCCGCTCAGGCCGTGTGAACCGTCCGCCTTCCCCACTATTGGCACTAATAGGTTGAGCAAAAATCCGTCGTTCTCTCAAGGCTCATTGCCTTACATGGCTTTTTGGATTATTTTCGAAGATTATGATGCAGTCTTACAAGTTGATCTTTCAGGGCATACCGCGCTACTAAGAAACGGTTTCTTGCACCGTTTGTATTTATTGTAGGGAAGCATGTATGGCCCACAAAACCATGTTTCCTTTCCGCTGGATGATTTCAGTAGTATCAAAAAAGATGGTGACTGATACGCTTAACAGTTCGACCCCCACGGCAAATAAATTTTGCAATCGGGTCGGTGGCCATTGGCCTCAAAATGGTGCTGACGATAAACATGAAATCTGATTTTGACCTTTAGCTCGATTTTTCACCAACGCGTAGGCGCCCCCACGGACCAAATGCAAATTCAGCTTGCTTCGCGAGAATCGACTCTGTTAAAACTGTAAACTTTGGCCGTCTTTTTGCACTGCTGAAAACCGTTAGCAGAAATGAACACAGTCTTGTGTTCCCTACGTGCACTCCTACATGCAAAAACCGTTTTGAAAAGCGTGGCTTGCCCTGGGAAAACGCCTTTGTTAGAGCGCGCAATCTCTTGCACATTTCGATGTACAACACTTTTTACTTAATTCACACTCTGGAGCTTACACGCGAGCAAAAAAATTGCTCACACTACATGGGTGAACATTGAGCCTCGACGAATGCTTCTGCAAACCCGCGGCGTTCGCGGCCGAGTAGTGCGGCATCAGTTACCTGAGTATTCGACGTTACATTACGTGTTAGTTCATCCGATCGTAACGACACGTAATGTAACGTCGAATACTCAGGCAAGCTGATGCCGCACTACTCGGCCGCGAACGCCGCGGGTTTGCCGCGGCCGCGCCCCAAATCGTGAAGAAAGTGGGGGAGCCTGAAGAGCTACGAATGTCATTCGCTTCTTATCAAATGGAAATTCGAAAGTTCTTCACACTCATCGCTTACCTGAAATCTGTAGATTTTCAAGACTGGATCTGATATATTCATCCATTGTCTCTAATGTGAGTCCTGCTTCATGTGTCAGACTAAAATCAATAGCGCCATCTACCAATATTACGCAAGAAATACCACTTGAATCACGAATGCGATTGCGAGATACTATGAGAATTAGACAAAAGTGAGTGAACGTCTTGGAGGGAAAAAGCCAAAGCTAAACAATCAACAGCAGAAATCACTGAACATTTTTCTTGTGAGAACAACAGTAGTATAGGGCAATGAGGCCAGTAACCATCTGCTAAAGAGGGAAAACACGGAGAGCGCCAATGGCGCGCAGCTCGAATAACAACTCAATCAACAAAAAGGGCAGGGTAGCAGCGTCAAACGAACCTACATCCTTGTCCGACTTTAGCACTTGCAATCCGCATTATATCATGATCGGCGACTATGCTACCTCACTCATAAGTAGCTGCCTCGAATGGATAGTGCACAATCGTACGTACCAGCTAGTGTATCGCGCTTTTGGCTCATTTGACCGCGTGGCTGGCGTGATTTTGCAGCGCGGTACTCCTTCACATCCACGATCCCAGAGCTAAATATGCAGATCACGGATGCGACGAATTTTTTGCAATGATGATCAGCATTTTGAACTTATCGGGAGGTAAAGCAACAGTTCGAACAACGTCATGTTTTGCTGGATTATACTGACCCCCTTTCTAGATTTGGGGCCGCGTGCCCACAAATCCGCGAAGAAGTGCGGGACGCGTCAGTGTATATCCGAAATATTCAGAGTGGTCGTGCCTAGAAAAACATATATTCTTCTATCCATGTAGGTTTACATTTGTTACACCACCCTTTTTATTCATGTTCATGGGAATACGAAGAAAACGAGAATGGACTGAGCCGATATATTAATAGGGCTTAGAACCTCTGCCAAACTAAAGGATATCTAGCTATTCTTTGAACTATGTTATTTTCGATTATATGAATGTATGGCCCAAAAGAAGGAGCACAAAAAAAACAGGGGAAGAAGTCGGGCATGCACGAAAAATGGATATAATGGGTGTGGCGTACATATTTAGTTGACACGGACTGGTCTACATGTAGTTGCACACATAGTTGCCGCGCTGTCATCAATGCGCTGATTTGAGTGAATCCATTCCTTTCGTGTTGACCCTGCCTGCCGGTCCTCCAAGCTCGCATGAGAAAGTGATGATGTGGCGCGAAGCGCTACGAATCCTTTTTATATGAATATATTTGTATATATATATATATATATATATATATATATATATATATATATATATATATATATATATATATATATATATATATATATATATATATATATATATATATATATATATATATATATATATATATATTAGATTATATTCGTGAGGATGTCCGATTCTGAGTTTGGTTTTTCTCACCAAAAATAAAACACATTGGCATGTAAACGTACAAACACTGAGCAGAACTGGTAATCTTGCACAACTAATTCCTCGCGTATCCGACAGAAATGGATCTTATTACACTGTGAATAAGTGAAGTCAGTTGGATAAGCAATGGTAGAATGAAAAGTGACAGCAAACAATCCCTTTTCCTAGCCATGAGAGATGCACGAAGGAGGAGTTGGGTTCGTTTCGAAGAAAAAAGCGACCAGTGCTGAAAACCGGACCAGTGCTGAAAGATTACGTGACTACTCGAACTCTCCCCTATGTTTTCTGCCGCGAAAGGCCAGAGCACAGACGACTAGAGAAATACGCTCTAGTCATATCTTCAAACTCAAGAAGAGAGGTTCAACCCTAGGACTGAGCTTTGGAGGGAGAAGGGACTCCGGAATGTGGGTGGAGTCAATTTACATTATGGCAAAGTTTGGATGTGTCAGATCAAAATAATCATGAGCCGCTGTTCAGGCGAGAGAGCGCAGGTACGAGCATCGAATCGAGGCGGTTTAAAGGACCGAGTTCAAGCTGTCCGTAGACCTGCTGAAAACCGGTGAATGAAAAGATAAGCACAGCTCGTTTCGGGACCACAAATTCTCGAATCACGGCCATACAGGCAAACGTGCCCACAAAAGCTGCGGACAACGGAAATCCACAGAAAACTTCCAGCAACTATCAATGGTTTACCAAAATAAGTAGAGTTAGAAACTCAAAAATAGTACTTTGTGATTTCAGTGCTCAATTGGGTGACGAAAGAAGCGAGTTTGAAAGGACCATTCAACCATTAACATCTTGTGGCCATTTCAGTGGTAATGGCGAAAGATTAGCTTTTTTTGTGATTACAGTGAACCGGCATGGGAAATTACTTTCAACACTAAGGGATACACAGGAAGAGCTGCCCACCTGATGGAGCTGCATTTAACGAAATCGACCACATTTGCATAGCCGCAGATAGTGAATTTCTTTCCAAGGCGCTCGCATGTTCGCGGAGCAGATGATCGTTCAGACCACTATTG